GGGGTCAGCCTGAAGCTCCTCAAATCTTATATAATCCTGGAGGAGGAGATTCTGGGGAAGGGAGGAGGTCCAAATTGTCTCCCACTTAAGTTTTCAAGGACCCTAATGTTGCATTCCCACTAGTGACACATTTTAGTGGCACCATGCCAGTGAGTAGGACACTGAAACTACATTTAAAGTAGAAGTTTCTGCATAATTGGACAACTGGGTATGCAAAAACATATTATATGTATTATTGGGGGGGGCACAAGATCACCTCCTAAAGAGGGCTGTGCTGTGTATGAGAATATCCTTCATGCACAGAGTGTCAGAAACAGTGGAAAAGCCTGCAGAATGAAGTTTGATCCCAGTGGCACATTTAAGACCAACAACATTTTATTCAAGGTATAAGCTTTTGTCATCTAGGGAGAGGTGGTGGAATTGACAGTTGGGGACCTATTTTTGCAGAAAGGGAGAGACTTTGGTTGCTTCCACACTGGGATTGTTCCCTCTTTGGACAGAAGCAAATCCTGGCTTTATGTGGGAGCATCCATGTGATAGACATGACTCAAGTGGCTCTGGGATTTTTCCCCAGGTGAGCCAGATCTTTAAGAAAACTCTCATTTAACCTGACTCATTGGGTGAAATGTAGGACAGCAGCAAGTGAAGTGAAGCTCCACCTTCAAAATGGGGAAGCTGCTCATTTTCCCATCCCTTGCTCCTTTAAAGGGTGGTTATTCTTGTCTCCTCCTGCCAACCCAGCAGTTCGAAAGCAGAAGAAGAAGCATGAGGACACTGTTTCAACCCACTGTTTGTAGTGCGGAGAAAACTCATTACAAAAGATTAAAGAGATATCTGAAAACATGTTGCAAAACAAATACCACAACAAAGCCCCCAAAATTCATATGGTATGCGCAGAAGGAAGCACTGTATAAATGTTCTTTTCACAAGGACTTCTGCAGACTGTGCTGCTTTTTAGTGGCTGGATTGCCTTGCATTTTTTAAATTATGCTGGGGGGTTTTTAATGACATTGATCAGAGAAGAAACTAGGGGCTTTCTTAATGGCTTGTGGCTTCATACTCAGTGGACAGGTGGGGTACGTCTTAAGTAAACCCCCAAAGTGGTAAGAAAAGCTTATAAGCTGTACAAAGCACAGCAAGGCTGTTTTTGTAACATCAAAAGATGCAAGAACATCATGCAACTTATATAAAGGTAAATTTTGTGCTTCCGCAACTAATTCAAATGCTGCCACACGGCTGTTTCCTTCATTTTTGTTTCTGCTCAGTGAACACACATCTGTTCAGCTCTTTTGCTGAGGTTGTTACTATTCTTTTCTGTAATAACTTTGATTTCTTTTACAGGGTTCCACTCTAGTTGTTAATGCAAGTTCATATATATATATATATGCCTCTGCTTTACTTTTAGCAGTTTCTCACCTTTTTTTGATAGTCCTGCTTTCAGAATATATAGTTTTTACATGTTAAAAACCCAGACTACTAAACACATTCTCAGTTTGGGTACAGGCAATTTGATATACATGGAACAATATTGCTTAGCCAAATGTGAGTTGAAAGGGAAGTAGTAATTATCAGGTAACATGCTGTCATAAAAGAAAGGGTCAGTGTTCCTTTCACAGTGTCCAAGGCTGCTGACAATACCTTTTAACTGGCAAGCACTGGTTTGCACAGCATTTTAACAGAACAAGTGGAAACCCACAAGGATTTGCAGGAAGCATCTCACCCCCCCCCACATCACTATTTCCCTTTTCCCTTTCCTGAAAGCCCCCATAACCTCTCTCCTTTTCCTGCTTCCTTCTCGCCACCCTATGAAAGCCTACCTTTATCTGTCACCAGCTTTCCCTCTCCTACACCCCGCCCCGCAGCCTCTGCCTGGAGAACTGTGGCTCACTTGTGCGGCACTGTTGTTGGGCCACGCTCACTTGCATGGTAGGAAACCAGAGGTCGATTCGGGGGGGACCGTGGGGGATCGCAGTTCCCCCCACCCACCTACCAGCTAACCTACCTTGATTGGCTCCCATCTTTGGCTTCCCCTCCTTCCCTTCCCTGGCAGCTTCTACCTAGAAACCATATGGACCAGCTGCACAGTGCTGGCTGCCTGACCGGGCCCAGTAGCAAAAATGGGGAATTGCAAGGACTTACAGGGACATCTCATTTTCCTTTCTCCCTCTTTTTCCTCTTTCCTTTCCCCCCAAATCCCCATAGCCTCTCCTCTTTTCCTGCCTCTTTCTCCCCTTCACACCCACCAGCCAATTTGCTTTTACCTGCCCCCTTGTCTTCAGCTCTCCCCAGGAAAACTCTGGTCACGTTTCACAGTGCTGGTTGGGCCAGGGCCAGTTGTGTGGTAAGGAACCTGAAAGGACTGGGGAGGGTACCTCACTTTCCTGTGTATCCCCTTCCTACACTATTTCATCTTTCCCTCCTCCTGGAAGCCCCCATAGTCTCTCCCCTTTCCCCGCCTCATTCTCTCCTTCTCAGCCATTCACCAACCTACATTTCAGCTATATTTATTATTTATTTATACCCCACCTTTCTCCACCGAGGGGACCAGAGCAGCTTACACTATTTTCTCTCCTTTTTATCCACACTACAACCCTGTGAGGTAGGTTAGGCTGAAAGTATGTGACTGGTCCAAAATCACCCAGGGAACTTCCACAGCAAGACTGGAATTTGAACGTGGGTCTTCCTGTTCTGAAGCTCTAACTGCTACATCAAACTGGCTTTCATAGGGTGGCTGTTGTTGAACAATAGCAACCAGCCAGGCCTAGATGAGTCACCCAGAGGTTATCTCCAGGCCTAGGGTTGCTGACTTCCAGGGGAGACCAGGAGATCTCCCAGAATTACAACTGAACTCCCAACAAGAGATCTGGCCCTTGGAGAAAATGATTGCTTTGAAGTGTGAATTCCATGGTATTATATTCAGTAAATTCCATCTATATATCTAATAGCGAAGTCGCCCCTTGTGTGCGGATATCTAAATCCGCACATTGGAGGCACCTGGGGGGGGCCAGGGAGATACTGCTGGGGAAGGGGTAAGCTTGGTGGGCCAGCAAAGCCTCGCCAATGCCACCGGGGGAGGAGAAAGTTTGGCAGGCTGGCAAGGCCTTGCCGCTGCTGAGGGGGGAAGGGGGAAAGCTCGGCGGGCCAGCAAAGCCTCGCCGAAGCCTTTTTCCTCCAGTGAAAATGTTTTAAGAACCACCTCTCTATCCCTGACCTGAATCCACTTCTATTTACCAACTTAAAAAGCATCCATTCTCAGAACTTCCGGACCCTTCTCCAGTTTGATTCTCAGACAAGTACCTTTCCCAGACTTGCTAAACAGGTAGTAACGGGAGATGCTGGTGCCTATGCGCTGCCAGAGCCAGGAGCCCTCTCACCAGGGGTGCATTGTGCCTTTCATGGGCCCTAGGCCCTTTTGCCTTTGTGGGCCCCTCCCTATAATCATATCAATGTTAAAATATATTTGTTATAACTTTAAATATTTTGACATTTTATTTTTTCTGTTTTAGGCAAAAATCAATAGATTTTCATGGGCCATAAACGTTAATTTTTTCTGATGGTAGAAAAAAAATTAAACATTTTCTTCAACTTTAAAAGTTCTTTTTCCCCCATCTAATTTTAAGAAGAGAAGAGATTGGATTTATACGCCTCCTTTCACTACCCGAAGGTGTCTCAGAGTGGCTTACAAACTCCTTTCCCTTCCCCTCCCCACAACAGACACCCTGTGAGGCAGGTGGGGCTGAGAGAGCTCTTGACAGAAACTGCTCTTTTTCAAGAACAGCTGTGCCAGAACTATGGCTTGCCCAAGGCCATCCAGCCAGGTGCAAGTGGAGGAGTGGGGAATCGAACCCGGTTCTCCCAGATTAGAGTCCGCACACTTAACCACTACACCAAACTGAAATTAAAACATATTTTGTGGGCCCCTAGAAGTATTGTGGTCCCTGGCACAGTAGGCCACAGTGCCTACTGTGCCAGGTACCTAATGGATAAGTTGGCTCTGCCTCTCACTGTGTGAGTCGGAGGCAATTAAATATGCTCCCCACCCCGTGACGGAAACAGCTTCCAAATATATACTGAAATACAGCCTATGCCAGCCCAATGAATGTTCAGTTAAAAAGCAGGTGGGTGCTGAGATATAAAAAGTTTGGTTTTGGGGGGAGGCAGTCCCGGCTTGTTGGTGCTGGTACAGTCACACACACTAAAACAAATCCACTTTCAATGCACTTTCCAAACAGATTTTGCCAGCTCACACAGTAAAATCCAGTTGGAAAGTACTCCGAAAGTGGTTTATTAAGATGCATCCAAACCAGCACTGCTGTCACTTTTTTGTTTAGTTGCACCCCCACTAAACAAATCCACCCCCACCCCCGCCCAAATATGCCCCACCCCCCCTGGAACTGCAGATCTGCTGTGGTGTTTCCAAGCCCCCATAAACACATAATTTACACAACAACATGGATCCACCGATATACACCACCACGCAGAAATATGCCCCGCTGCGTTTATCGGTGCTTCCTGCCAGCCAGGTGAAATGCGATAGTAAGTTCAAATAAGCCTCACACAGCCCTTCTCCCTATCTCCCTCCTCCCCCCATTTCTGAAACACTCCAAAATCCTATGGGATTCTTTCCCCGCCGGCTGATTTCCAGCAGGCATCCCTGGAAACCTCCCTCTCCTGAAGCTTCACAGCCAAGGCTCAGAGGGGCTGACAGAGGCACCCGCTCGCCAGCCTAAGACAAGCGACTCCTCTCTCTCTCTCTCAGCTTGCCCGACTCGGCGGCCAGAGGCGGGAGGGGCGCTGCGAAGCACACGCGGCCCGTGCTTCCTCCGCCGAAGCCAGCCTCTTTCTCCGCCCCGCCAGGATGTGAGCTCACAACACCGCCTCTTTCCTCCGGGGTGATGGTTACCGGTTCCGCGTAGGGAAGAAACCGACTCTCCCGGGGCGATCCAACCCTGGTTCCGCGGGCTTAGACTCGCTTCGGGGCAGGAGGAGAAAGAGGCTGGCGAGTCACCGCTGGGCGGGCGCGGAGGCTTCTGGCCGCTTGCCTTCGGCCCTGCTCGCAGGTGAGAGAGGAGGCTGTTCAGGGAGGGAGGGACTGTGTGTTTAGTAAACACGGCTTATGGGTGCCGATGGAGCCGCTAGGTGTGGAGGGATGGCCCCTCCGCAGCTCCACGGAATGCCTTCCTTCGTCTGAAGCCACGTCTCTCCTATCACGCAGACGCCACGTTCTCTCCAGGTGTTGACGAGGACTACACGGCCAGGGATGAAGCACGCGGGGCGAGTGAGCGAATCCCGCAGTGTGCCGCCTCTCTCCCACGCGCGCTGCATTTAATAGCCCCCTGGCAGGCGGGCAGAAACCCGACCGGTCTGGAATGCAGCGAACCTGTGAAAAGCAGTGCAGCTGATAGATGGGAGCTCTCCCCACGAAAAAAACACTTCCTCCTGAAATAAATTTTGTTTGCCCTTAAGGTTTTGTTTTGCTGTTGTAAAAGGTGGCTATGCCAGTGTTGCTGGTAGGGCTGCCAGCCTCCAGGAGGGGGGCGGGGGTTGTGTCTCTCCCAGGATTAGAAATCATTTCCTGGCCACAGACATCAGTTCCCCTGGAGAAAATGGCTGCTTTGGAGAGTGGACTCTGTGGAATAATATCCCATGGAGTACATATGCCGAGGAATGTTTGATGAAGTTTTTATTGGCCGATACTTATGATACTGTCTCACGCAATGTTGCTAAATATTGTTATTTGGTAATTAAAAAGCGTAGAATGTACTGTAACTCGAGCCATTAATGACGGAATTGACCGGTTTTGTATTTTAGTATTTAAGGCTGCAAGGATTCTATGTCGTAGACTCGGTGTTGTACTATTTTGGTTTATTTTGCTGGTCTTATGACTGTTCTTAATAAATTTGATTTGATTTGATTTGATTTGAATATCCCACGGAGTCCTTGCCTCCCCCCAAACCCTGTCCTCCTCAGGCTCTGCCCCTCAAAATCTCCAGATTTTTCCCTACCCACTTTTGGCAACCCGGGGAGTGGGTATGGGTTGCAAGAACCGCCACAAGACCCTGACAGAGATTCCTTCTCATCCCTGCCTCAACCATCATATGAAGACTAATCACATGACTTGCCAGGATCCCGGTCCGGGAGGGGGTTCCCCTGCTTTTGTGGGCATCTTTCCGCCACCAGTCAACTGGCCGGCAGGGGGAAACCCCACCTGCAGTTGCCCCTGAATGTGTTGTGATGATGTCACACGGAACTGACGTCATCGTGTTTCCAACATCGGGGGTGATGCTCTAGTTTTTGGGCAAAACTTTATGATAAACTTGGGCTCAAGCCCAGAAGATCTCAACAAGGCCCAAAGATCCCCCCGCAGGGAAGAAAGTAGGACCTGGCAACCGTACCCTAAAGTGACCAAGGTAAAGGTTTCCCTTGCTCGAAAGCCAGTCGAGTCCGACACTAGGGTTGCGGTGCTCATCTCCGTTTCAAAGCCGAAGAGCCAGCGCTGTCCGAAGACGTTTCTGTGATCATGTGGCCGGCATGACTAAACGCCAAGGCGCACAGAACGCTGTTCCCTTCCCATCGAAGCGGTACCTATTTATCTACTTGCAATTTCTTGCTTTCAAACTACTAGGTTGGCAGGAAAGTGACCAAGGCCTCCCAAAATGTCCCCTAGAGTCTGTCATTGGCAGTCTGGGATGGGAGATAGGCTGTCCCCTAACCTTCTACTGACGGCCCAAGTGACCTTATAAATGCAGTTGTTTTGCATAAGACAACAGGCAAACAGGATAAAAACATAACTTTTATTCGCTACCAGGAATAGGAGAAATAAGTAGGTTCAGTAATGAGGCTTAAAACCAGGGCTATTTTTGAGCAGGAACGTACAGGAACGGAGTTCCGGCTGGCTTCAGAGTTGGCCACGCCTACTACAGCCAAAACCTCTGCGTGTGTGGCTACAGAGGGAAGGCCTGGAGAGTGACCCCCGGCGACTCCGAGGCAGGTGGGCCAGGGGGGCCCCTGGAAGGATCAGGGAGGCATTTAGACGCCTCCCTGTGCCTTACCCGGCCTGTCCAAGTGTCGGCTTGCCCAGGCTCCCCGCAGTCATGGGGCGCCTGGACAAGCCAAGGGAAGGCATGGGGGTGTGGCCTAATATGCTAATTTGATACTGCTGTTGGGTGTGGCCTGTTATGCTAATGAGTTCCTGCTGGGCTTTTTCTACAAAAAAAGCCCTGCTTAAAACTATTTACAAGTAATACACAGCTTTTGCCAGACTCATCAAGTTACAGTGTTGTAGTGTCAACAGCTTGGATGCACAGAACAGTTGACAGCCAAGCTTTTATTCTTGAGGCCTTCTCTCAGCCTCGGGATTCTCATGGTATAAATGTGAGCTCTTCTCAAAAATGACAAATCTTAAGCAAGTTTCCCTCAGAAATTGGGCTTTGATATAGCTATTGTCTCCTCCTCAAACATCCACTGTACTAGCCCGCTTTATCACATCCAAAGTCTCCTGAGGAATGATTTTCTGCCTAACCATTCACTTGTTTGGCCTGCTTATACATAAGTCCAACTGAGACTTATGTATAAGTCTGTGAGACAGTTCCTGTCCCAGCTAACACTTTTGGAGGTGCAAACCCTACAAGATATGAACTGACAATGTAGCAGCTTTGTCTCCCTCGCCACCCATCCTCATTGGCCTCCACATAGCCCAGCACGAGATCAAATGAAAGCATCAGTGCGTTAGAGGGTCTGTTAATCATAAAATTCAGCCTGGGGTACAATGTGCATCCATTACTATTAACGACCCTTGTTTTAGTTACTTTTGGTACCAGAAGTTTAAAGGTCTACAAAACAGCCCTTCCGCAACATTTTGACATCATCTTGTTTATCAAAGATCGATTCCTTTAAATAAATTCATACCATATTTGTAGAATTGCGGTCGGGTTACCAGCGCAATCCGAAGCAGAGTTACACCCTTCTAAGTCCATTGGAAACATTGGAGTTAGAAGGGTGTGTAACTCTAGGATTGCACTGTACAGGTGTAATGAAGCAGCAGTTAAGCTGCTAGAATCTAATAAGATTCAGTCAGGAGTATATACAAAACAGGGATCTTTGGTAGGACTGTTCATTAAATTCTCTTAAGGTATCCCCCAAACCTTGTTCTCTTGTTTCAAATCAATATTTTAAAATCAAATCTGTACAAAAGTAAACTAAAGTTAGTATTGATTAAAAACAAAGGATTAATCAAATAGCGGTTGTTGAAAAATATTTAATATGCATAGTAACTTGCAGGTTAAAAAAAAAAGAAATGTTATATTTGTGTCATTTGTATAAGCCAGGCATGTCCAACTTCGAACAGGTCGTGATCTATTTTTTTCGGCCAAAAGTGCCGGTGATCCACCACCATGAAAATAAAGTTTCAAATTAGTTTCAATTTAGATTTTAACCCACTAAAGTTGGGTTCCACCGCTCCCCCCCCCATTTATTTTTTTTTTGTATAAAGATTTTATTGACTCCCCTAAAAAGGGGAGGAGTTTCGCTTAAAAAGAAAGATAAGGAGGGTATATAGTGGGAGGAAGAGAAAGCTGAGTGATGTATTAACTGTTAGATTAAACTGTTAGTAATGTCCAATCATCAAAGGCTTCTTCTGCGTGTTGTCAAACATCTTTTTTCCATTCCAGTTACTTTCTATGTTAATTTGTTAGTAATGTTCCTTTGAATTTCTGTTAAAAAGTCTCTTCAGGGCACATTCAAAACCGCTTCTTTAACGCGCTGGTTACTTTTCCCCTCTCAGTGACGGGAGGGGCT